AAATGTTCCAGTGCCTGTTCTGCACATTGTGGGGGATGAAACGTGCCCAGAGGGTCTCTCCTGACACGTGAGCATAGCTGTATGCACAGATGAGCTGCAGAGGGAGGAAGAGTTACCTCCTCATAGAGGGACTGGTCAATCATTGACTTAAGCAACAACTACTGACAGCAGACTTCTAGACACTACCCTGAAGACAGTTAATATTTATTGAGCTTCTACTATTGTCAGGCACACTATTCTAAGCACTTTGTAGATATTAATGTATTTAAACTTCACAGCATCCCACAAAATAAGGAAACTGAGGCACAGAGAGGTAAATCAACTTGCCTAAGGCCACACAGCTAGTCAGTGGCACGGCTAGAATTTGAACCGAGGCAGTCTGGCACTAGAAACTGCTCTTTTAACCAAAATGCTACATTATACTCTCTCTCCAAAGTCAACCTAATAATAATAATAATAGCAGCAACTACCACATAACATGTTTATGATGGTCCAGATGCCATAGTATATGCCAGGCATGCACATTTCTTGCCAAAGATCATATGGCTCCCAGACAGAAGAACTGGATTCAAACCTTGGCAGTTCGGGGTGCTTGAACTTGGGGGACAATAAAGAGCAGCAGGAGCTAGAATAAGTTTGCACAAGGTACAAATGTGGAGCGGAAAATAGGAGGTCGTTGACCTTACCTGGTGGGAGCAGCACTGGGTTGTAGACAGACTGGGTTGTTGGAAAGCTTCACAGAGGAGTGACACGTGAGCTGAATTTTGAAAGATAAGATTGAGTAGTCATCACAGAACGATGGGGCAAAATGTTCCATGCAGAGGGAACAGTGGGACTAAAGGAATGGAGTCTGTTACATTCAGGAAGCTTCAAGCAGTTTGAAGTGGATGTCAGGACAATACAGAAAATAAGTCAGAAGTCAGGGGCTAGATCACACAGAATCCTACTTGCCTTTCCAGGAAATCTGAGCTGTTTTTCAAACTTCCACTGAAGTAAATGTGAAAAATAAAAAAAAAAAAAGGAAGAAGAAAGAAATATCCCCAGAGAATCTAATGGCAAATTATGAAGCCCTTCAGACTGGTAGGAATTCTTTGAAGTCTATTTTCTCTTACTGCATGCATGATAATTCTGCATTCTGTTTAAATTATTTACCCTCGAGTAAAATGGGCATTCTAGGATGATTTTTTTTTAAATATTTATTTATTCAGGCTGCTCCGGGTCTTAGCTGCAGCACGCGGGATTTTTGTTGCGGCATGCAGACTTCTTAGTTGTGGCATGCGGACTCTTAGTTGTGGCACGCATGTGGGATCTAGCTCCCTGACCAGGGATCAAACCCGGGCCCCCTGCATTGGGAGCATGGAGTCTTACCCACTGGACCACCAGGGAAGTCCCTCTAGGATGATTTTTATCCTGCGACTTTCAGTATGCTTAGCACACTGCCCCTACCAACCTGCCAGGTATGTGGACCCCAGTTTGAGAAACATGGGAAGGAAACTATCAAAAGGATTTTAATCAAGGGAGTAATGTGATCAGACCTGCAGTTTAGATAGATGTATCTGGCAGCCATATGGAAGATGAGTTGGAGTGGGCAAGACTGGATACAGGGAGTCTGAACAATACTTTTAGGGTGAGAGGCCCAGGGCCTAAACTGCAGGGCAGGATCCCGGGGAGACAGAATTGACAGGATTTAGTATCTGACTGATTTGGGGGTGGTGGTGTTTAGGATGGATTCCATAGACCTGGCTTAGGTCACACCTAGGTTGTGAGAAAAGAAACAGGTTTGAAGGGAAAGATGATTGGATTTGGACATTCAGAACCTGAGGTACTTGTGGATCATATAGGCAGAGATACCCCATAGGCATCTGCAAGTCAGCAAAGAGGTCTGGGCTGAAAATAAAACCTGTTTGAGTTATGTACAAGGTCACAAGGAGAGCAGGTAGAATAAGAAAAGAGGGTTAAGGACAGGGTTAAGGAGAATAACAACAGTCAAGAAGCAGGCAGGGGCTTCCCTGGTGGCGCAGTGGTTGAGAGTGTGCCTGCCAATGCAGGGGACACGGGTTCGTGCCCCGGTCTGGGAGGATCCCACGTGCCGCGGAGCGGCTGGGCCCGTGAGCCATGGCCGCTGAGCCTGCACGTCTGTGCTCCGTAACGGGAGAGGCCCGCGTACCGCAAAAAAAAAAAAAAAAAAAGAGATGACAACAGAGACCCAGGCCCTGCCTCAGAGACTCACAGGAGCTCAAGAACAAAAGAGAGATAAGTTAAAGGGAAGAAGAGAGGAAGTTTGTCCTGTGGGACAAAACACATGTTGGAGCAATGGGTGCTATGGCCCTATCAGATGGATTGGAATTCACCTTCTGTTCCAGTTAGAAAGCCCCATCCGCAGGGTGGCAAACCCCTTCCAAGTGTTAGCCCCTGTGTGTTCAAAGCTGACGGGCCAGAGCCACATCGAGCCTCCATAGGTTGGTACAGTGAACCCTCCAGACTGAACCAGAGAGGGACCACAGCCCCCAGCCCTACTCCTGGCCCATTGCTAAACTTCAATAGGCTAGCCCCCCAAATCTGGAACAGATGGAATAAAATGTACATCCCTTGGTAGTTTCTCTGAACAGTAATCAGGAGTTGACCTAGGGTGGGCATTTGGAAGGATTCCGCCTCCGTCCTGCCTGGTGCTGGGATCAGCTCACATGGCTCCTGTGTCCACAGGGCACAGAGAATACATTGTCCATAAGGAGGATTATTCTGTACAAGAAGCTCAGACAAAGGGAGAGGTTGTTCCCAGCTGCCTGGGGGAGGTGAGAAGGGGGTGGGAAAGGGACCAGCCTTGCACTGGGGCATTCCTGCAGAGCTCCGTTTCTTCCCTT